GTCTATCAATTTCCACCAGTCCAGTCCCATCCAGTTTCCGATTCCGAACAGATTGTGGGCAATTTCAACGGAGCAAGAGAGACGCGGGCGTTTTCGTGTTGACGCGCTAACTAGCCAATCAGGACGAAGAATAAAACAAGATAGGCGGGCATTATGTCAGTGACAGGTTAATGAGCCAATCGTAGCGCTCAGGTTATCCATGAGTGCAGAGCCATGTATTCAGAATACATGGCTCTGCATGAGTGTAACTGAAATTTAAACGGATGGGCGGGACTTACCAGCTCTATCGGCCTGGTTTCTCAGACAGGGCTTAGATTACACTAGTAGTAGGACTTAGTTCGGCTTTATGCCCAGCTGCACTACTACTTCCTAACTTCAGCCAGCTCCTTGTTTCCTGTCTGCCATTATTGGTCAAATTGATTAATTCAGGTGTGCTTGACCTCAGTAGTCATGGCAACAATAATCAGACACACCTGAATTAATCAATTTGGCCAATAATGGCAGACAGGAAACAAGGAGCTGGCTGAAGTTCAGGAAGTAGTGCAGCTGGGCATAAAGCCCATTAGGACATTTAAGTAGCTTTTATAAACGTACCTTAGAAAAAAAAAAGATTAGGCTATGGTGTTCTTGAGACAAAACAATAGCACTGACATATTTTACATGACATGAATTTTAGTCTGGCTAGGCTTAAGCCATGTCTGTGAAACCGGGGGATAGGGTAAAATTGTGACTTAAACCCATTAGCTTTCCAATGTCGGTCCTTTTTAATAATATTTACCAACCAAATATGGCCTAGACCAGGGGTTTTATTACTTTTTTATTTCCATGGAACCCTAAATATGATGCTCCATAATGATAATAATAAAATAATTTTTTACATTATTCTCTGAACTTTTTTACGAACCCCGCCCTGAGGCACCCTGGAGGTCATCGGACGGACCCTAGTTTGAAAACCCCTGGCCTAAACCCTATCTTAGGGAATCCCTGCAGCTAAATTGAACCACCAAGAAAAACCAAGAAAAATCTATATCAGGACTTGTCTTTTCACATATTTCATGTGGGTGGGTGTGGATCACCTCTTCCAGCATGGGACAGTTGTCCTGCCTAGGTCACTATTCAGACAGAAATTATATTAATTTAAATGCAGCTCAACTCATTAAAAATGTTCTCCTTGTATTAGAGCTCTGAAGCCCTTTGATACCCTCGTTGCGTTCCCGCAATAGGTAGAAAAGCACAGCCATGTCCTTTGATGTGTCCTGCTAGGCAGTGTGGTGCTGTGGGCTCATAGTAATGAACCGATGCAGCTCCTGCAGGTGAAGATCTACACAGACGTTGTCATCAATCACACATGTGCATCGGGCGGTGGGGAGAACAGGCTCTCGACCTGCGGCTCGTACCTCAATGCCACCCGTGAGGAGTTCCCATCTGTGAGATACTCTACCACTGACTTCAATGATGACAAATGCACCAGCCGCCATGGAAATATTGAGAATTACCAAGACATTTATCAGCTATAATTTCAAAAGTGATAAAAGGGCCCTTTGCAGGCAATGCCATTGGACAGAAACTGGATTTTTTATTCTCATCTCGGCGAAGCAATCAAGAGCATTTGAATATTAGTTGGGCTTCATATGATCCACCACAATAATCTTCCATATGTTTACATCAAGGACGATAACTATTAGCGATAAAGATATAAGCTGTGCTCCAAATGATGTACTATACACTATGCACTTATGCTCTTTGTACTCCACCATCTAGTGAATGGTGTAGATGTATGGACATTTTATCATCCAGCATCAGAGTCTGTTAGTATTGTTAGTATTTGCTTCGGCAACATACTTTTGTGAGGGAAACAAGTAGTTAGTAAGTGCAAATGTAAGTGCATTTAGTATAGTATATAGTATAGAGTGCAGCAGTGGGGTTCCAGAAGTACATAAATGGAAAAATAGACATAAATGGAAAAACACTTCAGGAACCAATGCAGCTGAAAAAGGGGTTTGGCACTAATGTACTCAATTAAAGGTGCGAAGGTTGAGTGTATGGCTGTGTCTGAAATCACATACTTACTATTTTGTAGGCAAAAAAACAGAAAGAGACAAAAGTAGTATGCCTAAATAAACAATACTCACATACAGGGCCTGAGATTAACATCCGAGCACCTGCCAAATGCGGGTGAATTTTGCTATTGGCAAGTAACACTGTCAATGAGAATGAGAATTGAGTGATTCATTAGGATTTTTACATTTCAACGAAGTCCACTATTGTGTTGGACTTCAGCTAAAATGTGGCGGCACATTAGGCTACTGGGGTAAAGAGGCCAGCTGAAACAAACAACCAACAAAAAGATAAGGATGAGAAAAAAGAAAAGGAAAAGACACTTTAATACAAAATGGACAATTGGCAGAAATGGCAAGGTTCATAAGTGGCTGATTTATGACAGCGACTGTTGTTTCGTAATGTTCATGCGATCAGAAAGAAGATGAGGCCCTTTTCTGTCTACGTTTGGATGTGCGATTGAAACTGATGGTGAGATGGGATGAGATAATGTAACGCTGATGTAGGCTACAGCAGCGGTTCTCAAACTGGGGGCCGTGGCCCCCTGGGGGGCCACTAGATGGCGCTAGGGGGGCCGCAAAGAAATTCTATAATATGAAATTATTTTAAAAAAAATATTTTACCTGTATGTAAGTTTGGATTGTCCTATGTGAAATCTGCATTGCATGATTTCTTTTATATTGTAAAACTTGTATAAAATTGTATGTCTTCTATATTGAAAAAGTATTTCTTTAAGTAGAGTAGAATTTTTTTTTGTTTCTTGCTGAAAAAACAGATTGCTGTTCAAATTTGCAAACCAAACTTGAGCCACTGTCATTTACTACCTTAAAATGCAAGAAGTTTAATGCACTTTTTTTACAATCAGCAAATTAATTTTTCAGTGTTCATCTTTTACTATGAACATCACAAATGTTCAGTATTCAATACTTTTGTTGCACTTTTCAGACAATATTACTGTTAACTGTCAAAACCATTTTTTATAAAAAATTGTTATATTTAATGAAATGTACAATTTAACTAATTTTGTATATTCAAAGACATAAAGCTACAAACAGAACTGTTGTTCCAGCATTGTACAAATTCATTTGTTTTTGGTACAATCTAAAATTTGTAAGTAAAATTGTACGTTTGAGGATGTTTTCGTTATGAGTTTTCTTTTGGGGGGCCACAAAAGGATTCACCCTACACAAGGGGGCCTCCTCCTGAAAAAGTTTGAGAACCACTGGGCTACAGTAATGACAGTTGCACAGATGTGAGTGCGTGTGCAACTGTGTATGTTGGGAGTTGGAAATCGGTGAGAAAATGTCCGGTACCCGGTAACTCTACCAGTAATAACAATATTAATTTAGTTCATAGTTAAAGGTTCCTGAACGCTGTAACTAAAAGCTGTTAAGACCTGTCTACATGACTGTGGCAGATGTTGGTGAGCCTGGGTCAGGTCAGTTTGTTTACAGTAAAGAATACACAACAACATTATTTTGGTTTAATAAACTTTATTTAAACTTTCGTTTGGAGTTAAGTGCGTACACTCTTTAACGTTTAGTTTAAGTTTATTTTTACCGTTCTTTTTGTTTGTTTGACACGCCTCAGGCCCGTGAGCTGGTGCACCATCAAAAGGGGTTCGAGCCGAAACATTAGACGTATACGGTTCCGGCCGATGATCGGGCCACAACCATTCTGGTTTCTTCTCCGGGGGAACCCCAAGGACTATTTTGCTTGCTTTTCTTTTGTTTGTTTAACTTATAAGAAGTATATTTATTAAGTGAAGTCATTTGATAGTATTATTTGAGGTGTTTGTTTATGTATATTGGGTGTTTTCATATTCGTTAATTGTGTATAATGGCCATTATATGTCTGTGTATCCCCCTTTATGTGTTAATTGGTGCTGGTATAAATTTGTTAATTGTTTCTGTATACATGTTTGTATATGTTTTCTGTATACAGAAACAATTAACAAATTTATACCTTGATGGCCAGCACCAATTAACACATCAAGGGGGATACACAGACATATAATGGCCATTACACACAATGAGTGTAATGAAGTGAATTTTTAAATCCACCTGCCACACTGGCCGAAAAAGTTAACTTCAGGCCCTGCTCACAATAGCAGGGTTTCCCCATTCCGCGCTGCTAGGCAGTCTGGTTACCATGAACCAAATTTTCCCCTGAAAAAGGGAACCAATCACAGAACGAGGAGGGAGCACAGGCGCATTTGATAGACATTCGTAGCACCCAATAATACGGCTCTGGGCATTCTCTGGACTTTCATACTACACACATTCATACTATATAAAACATACTTAGCACTCGCAAAGTAAGTGCTTATTCAAAATAAGTTCCTACTCAAGAGTATGCGATTTCAGACACAGACAATTTCAGACGCTTCATTTTTTAAAGATAATTTAGTGCATCATCCATATCATTCTTGGTGTGAAACATGCCTGTTCAAATGGTTGCTTTGTGTGACAAAAGATGTTTTAAAAGGAGAAAATCTCAAATCTCATGCAATGTCAAGAGCATCATGATTGATCATGAAAACTAATAACATTTGGAGTCCCAAAAATCAAACCTGGTGCAATGCATCTTGAGAATCTCAGAACTACAGACTAAAGTACAATAAACAAATAACAGCTAATCTTCCAAGCCGAGCCAGCCCTGGTCACAGTCTTTCTTGTGTATTGTTTGTGTTTGTCTGAGCTCTGCTGTATTGACAGCACCATCTGTTGCTGTGCTGCTGGAAGATGAGCCGGCTGACTGATAGCGACTTTTAAATTTATTCCCCTTCACTTCAAAGGCACATGTTGTGCGTGCAGAACAATACTGGTACCATTAAACATCAGGATCCAACCTTTTGCAACCTTGAGACAGCACACAACCCAGATTAATAACAATATGAGAGGGTCTTGAAAATGGGCAGCAGTTTCAATGAAGATGCCAGATGGCAGTATTATTTCATTTTATTTGACTGTATTGCAAGACATTTCAACAAAATCAGTTCCTAAAAAAAAAGATATATTACAAGAGATGATGATGAACTTCAGCCCAAGAGGACTCAACAGCGGCAGTCTGCAATAAAATAAAAGGGAAAATATGTGAATATTTTTTGGTTAGGACAGTGCTGAAGCAGAAAAACATTACTTGACATTTCAGAATTCAGTTATTATTACCTATATATTTTTTGATAAAATAACTCTTTTAAAGGATATTTTAAAGGATATGAAGTAAAGATGGAGCTCTTGTAGGCTCATGATTGAGGTAATTTGATGCAACATCAACATCATCTTAAACAAATAGAAACAAAATCAAGCTTAAAAATCTAGAAGCTATAATAATAAATATTCAGTACATTTCCACCAACCCACTCCAACATACGGACAGCTTGAAAAATCGATACATATAGTGTTGTTGATCTCAAAGTGATCCTTAACCCACCAGTTTAGTGTTTTTTCCCTCCTTTCTTTGCGTCAGCAGATTCCGGTTTAGGTTTTGCAGATCTGGCGAATTGCTAAAGTTTAAGTTAAGGCATCATGTTATTTGACAGAAAAACATTTGAAATAATAAACCCTAGGTGAACCTAGACGAAAACATACAATTCCAGCATGTCTAAAACCAGCTTTGATTTGTCTCAAGTGGATTTCTAGTTCATCTATACATGTCTGACAGAGTGTTAATGCAGAGAATGGCTGAAAACAAAGGATACCACCACAAGAGGTCTGTCGTTGAGTATATATCCATTGGTTTCCTTTAAGGCCTTCTCCGCGCTTCTCTCACTGGGGAGTTCGATGAAGGCCTGACCTTTCATCCTCCCCTCTCTCAACAAAACAATATCAAACCTGACGGGAACAAGCACACACTTACACATCAGCACATGTTCATGAAGAACTCCCCTTTATTCATTGCTTCAGAGAACAATGTTTGCTTTTCATTGGCTTTGATTGTAATTTGAGGAGTTGAGGCCTCAGACAAGGGCCTGAGGCATTAGACAGTGGTGCTTACATGTTTCTCTCTTCCTCTGAGGAGATGTCGATATACCGCCCATAGATGAACTTCAAATCCTGCGGAAAAGATGGGTTATATATCTGGTACTAAAGTAAGAATTATGAGCTGTTAGGCTGTTCTAGACACATGCTGATGAAGGGGTATGTGATCTTAAGAATTTCCTATATACACAATACAAATATATCTGGTATATTTGGAGTATACTGTAATGATAAAGAGTAGTGACATCGGTAGCACTTTATTTTAAAATCCAGTTAAAATCCATGTACGTACTATGTACTTATTATAGTAATTACAATAACTGGGTAGCCCTCAAACCGTATTCACTTTATAGCCCTTAGCCATAGCCCTTCGATTAAGTTTTTTCCATCCATTTATGGTGTTTTTTTTTTATTTTGGGGGTATTTTTGAATTTATTTACTTCAAAAAGTACCATATTTTCTATGTAAATTATGCTTGTTTTTATTTTTAATTTTTTAAAAAATTTTTAACTACATTAAAATATCATTCCAATAAGTTCTTAGAGATAAAACCTAAAGATGAAGTGACTTTGCTCTCACCTGGTGTCTTATTTTGGCTTATTTTAGAATGCTCTAAATTATACAATTCCCATTCATTTCTATGGGAGCCCATTTTTCACCCAAATACAAGATTATGGAGTTTTTTTTGGGGGGGGGGTTTCACGTACTTAACATTGTAGAACTGACTCAAAAAAAATGTGTGAGTTCAGGAGGCAAACTTAGGAAAAGTAGGCAAGTCTTTGTACCGCTAGTATTTTTTAAAAATAAATCAAAACTATTTTGCCCACATTTGTCCAGAATACGGTTTTAGGGTTAATAACAAGGTACTGACCCTGAACCCCCCCTAAACCTAACCTTAACTCATGTAGTTACCTCATATTACCTACCCAGTACTTTATTACGCAAGATACATATGTGTGTGTGTGTGTGTGTGTATATATATATATATATATATATCCAAGATACTTACTTTTTCTTTGACTTGCTTTGCAATATTCTTAACGTAAAGTCTGCAGGTTGGTTCTCCGGGTTCGTAATTTTTAAACACAGACATTTTCTTTATCTCTGTAAATGTCAAAGAATTAGCAACAAAATAAATCAATACAACAGACATACACAGTCATGTGAAGTAAATATGAAACAAAGTCGTTAAAGGAATGACTGGCTGACTTAAATAAATACCTGCTAGTAATCACTAGCAAACATCTGAAACATACAAACAGTCATATGACAGCCTGGTGTGCTATCAAATATTAATCTCCTGTTTAAAGACCGACTGCATCTTTCTTGTGAACACTCGAAGCCAAATTCTTTAGTAGAGCTTCTCGATTCTATTTGATGTTCGGTGTACTACAAAAAAGAGAGTTGCGTGCACAATTTAAAAGAGTCTCTCACCGTCTCTGGAGAGTCTTGCTCTCTCTAGCTCTCTCCTAGAGATGAACTCTGAGGGGATGTCCTCATCTTCCTCATTCTCTTCCTGCTGTCTGGGGACCTGAGCGCTTGGGTAGATCTTCCCGAACCCTTCTGAGGCTTCCTGAGCGGAAACCTCCTCGTCTGCCGTGTCTAGGAAAAAGTTATACATAATTAGAGCGTGTTTTGAACTGTCACGGTGCTCAATTCCAATCTGTTTGTGAAAGGCTGCCTGTTGCAGATTTCAATGATGACAAGTGAAAGGCGGCATCGAAGTCTTGTGTGAACACGCATCAAAACGACAAGCCTTTGACTCTTCAAAACAAACCGGAACGCACAGGATTGTTTTCTTGTCATGCAGAAAAGCAGAATCAAGTCCTGTAATCAATAACAAAAGGCACGTAAATTCAGATAAAGTGGAAAATCCAAGCCAGAGGAAAAACAGGCGAGTGTATTAATCTCGGAGGGTGACACTGGTGTGTTTACGGGGGGTCACGCTCCATGGGGTTCTCTTTCAGGTTCTTTCATAGCGCAGTTGGAGATGTCACCTGGCAGTTGGCAGTAAGCCGTAAGCAAACGTGGATGAGGAATTATGGGAAGCAGCGAGGCTACACAAATCCTCTGGAAACTTGTCTGACAGATCTATAGTGCCTAATGTGTACTAGAGCAGGAAGTGCTGATAAGTTCCCTCAGAGAGGTGGATTTCTTTGACGTTTCTCGTCATTTAAACATCAGTTGAACGCGAGTGTAATGAAAATAACTCCCGGCCCTGTGCTAGTTTCTTTTATAAAGAGGGTTAGGAAAGCTCTTTGATTTTGAAAGGTCTTCATCTCTGTTGTTGGTCATAGTTAACTAATGGAAAACAAGAAGATAAAGATCGGGAATCTCAATTTGAGAGCGCTTTTATTTGCTGTGTCTGCAAAGAATGCCAACATTAAAATAATTGCTAAGATCTATTTGCACCGAAAAGTTTAGTGTGCTTTTTATTTTTGTTTGACAATTCCGTCAAATTCCGTCAATTCCGTTGCACAACGACATATTGAAATAAAACTGACATCATAATAAAGCTTAGTGCAATTGTCAGATTCTGCACAGGCTGCAATTTAAAAATATATATGTGCTACCGGTTCAGAGTGAACCACATCATTTACACATGAGTGTCTCAGAACAGCTTGGTTAATTTACTGTGAATACAGCTGTTCTGAGATGCTGTGAGCTGCACGTGTGTAAATGAGAATATTGCGTTTCAATCAAAATCTGCCAGCACATTTGTTTATTTGCTGGCAACCTGTCAAATTAAAAACTTTTTCAAACTATGGTTTGCAGTTTGAAAATGAACAAATTAAGATGTAAATAAATACTACTAGTATTGTAATTAGCTCTGCTGGTAATATATATATATATATATATATATATATATATATATATATCATAGATTTACATATAATTTATATTATACATAAATATAAATATTTTAGATATAAATAATATTTTTCTTTCTTAATTATACATGCATGTGTGTGTATTTATATATATACAAAATAATTATACACAGTGCACCCACATATATTATGTAAACACAAACTTTTATTTTGGATGCGATTAATCGTTTGACAGCCCTAATATTATTTTTTTCAAGTACAATGGTATTATTACAATATAATTTTGTTTTAATTCATTTAATAATAATCACAATAAAATCATAATTATTATTATTTGAATTGATCAAAAACAGTGTGATTGTGGCCTATAAAACTCAAGTGGAAAGAGATTTTTTTTTTTTTTACTGGTACAGTATCAGTTTTACTGTTTAACTTTATGGCTTGAGTTAGATTTTGCAAAGAGTAAACGCGAGTACATCCAAATTTTTCAAGTTTTGTTCAAATAGTTCAGCCCTAAAAACCCTACAATATCGAAATAAAGTCGAGTAAAAAGTAACTGTTTGAAAGATTAGTTATTTATTTAATTAGTTTTCTCCCCAACGAAATCACCCCAATTATTCTATAACTAACCATTCTTTCCAAATAGAGCTATTCAAGTCATCTGGTGAAACCTACTGTAAAACTTAATACAGTAAGTATTACTGTATGTGACTGCATGTTTGGGTAAATAAAATCCAGTTTCAAATAGAGGCTGGGTCTCTTTTTTAGTTTTGGGTTGTTAATCTTCTAAAAGTTAAAAGTTAATGTTAATCTTCTAAAAATCTTTTTTTAAGGTGAGTGATGTAGAATAGAATGACTGCTGCGTTTGACAGGGCGCATAACGAGCAGAGAGAGCGCGACGGGCGCGCGCAATCTCATGTCTTCAAAAAACACGAGTGCTGTCTTGCTCTTTCTTCAATTGACACAACATTAAGGTCGGAACAGCGCAGTTTCACGTGGAGCATTTGAAGATTTTTAGAAATTATAGACTTAATGAACAACATCTCAACACTAAATTATAAAGACCGGTCTCATATAGGCGCCTGTCTCAAATACAAGCCGGTGCAGTTCGACGATTTGGGAAAATAAAAGCTCTGACTATTTTGAAGTTTTACGGTATACTTCCTATACTTGTTCACATTGCACAAACACTAAATATTGCTATTTTGACGATCTATTGAGTTTTCTTTCCAGTATCGTACAGCCTGAATAAAGTTTCAGGGTTATCCTGACACAGGGGAGGGTCTCGGCGCCTCATGGTGAGAGCAGCTCGGTCTGCTGACAGCCCGATACATTAAACCTTCTCTCCAGCTGAGTCACTATTCTCAGGGCTAATTGCTGTGTTAATTGAGCAGGTCCGCTCAGGATGGATGGGTGAACCTGGGGCGCATTCGGTGATGCAGGCGGATAGATAAATGAATGATGGGATAGAAGGAATGGCGGGGGACCAGCAGCCTTACCTTCAGTCGCATCTGCGATTTGCTGCTCTTGATTCGGTCCGGGCCCCTCGAGGATGGTGGACACCTCAGCCGATATATGGAACTCAATTTTTTTCTGTCCTAGCGTCTGAGGTTGCTCAAACACGTCTGCTGGCTGCAGGACTGGGCCTGAGTGTCTGAGAGATACAGCACTGACCTATCAGCAAATCTCTTTGTTTGTATTATAGAAGGTTGTCTTTTGAAACTATAAGGCGTTGTTTAATTTTACTTAATTAATTATAAAGAAGCTTATGGTTGTGTGAAATGCAGCAGAGAGTTTACCCGTGGGAATCCGGTTTGGGAATTAACAGGAAATCTTTTAGTTTGGGTTTCTTTCTCTTGGAAGAAGTCTTTGCTCTCAGCGGTCTTTTGCATGGCTGATTAACAAGGCCCATCAGTCTGATCATCCTTTGTGAAACACAGGGAGAAGAAGTGTGAAGCTATTAAACATGTATGGCTTTTGAAAGCAAGGCAAAATACGGCAATGAAACAAACAAACTTAACACTTTGCAGCTTTTAGCTGCTGCCATTCTAGAGGCTGACAATCTGTCATGAGAAATCGTGCCAATGCCGGTGACACTATCACATTTATTTTTAGGAATTTAGATTTTAGACATGTAGCGAGCACAATATTTGTTAGTAATCTGTCTGTCTGCAGGGAAAATGCCCAGAAAAATCTGGTTTATTTATTATTATTTGTTGATATTGAACATTTAATTGTACATGCTCATTTCTCATATTTTTACATTTAAACTCTGGTTAAATTAAAAATGTTATCATGGAATAATACTGTTCAAAGGTTTAGGGTCAATATGATTTTTAAATGTTTTTGAAATAAGGCTCATAGTAAAAGAGTAATATTGTGTAAATGCTACAATTTAAAATAACTATATTCTTTTTAAATATGTTTTAAATTGTAATTTATTCATGTGATTTTCAGCATCATTACTTGTCTGATGTCTGATGTACTTGTCATTTCTAGTCTTAAGTGTCAAATGATCCTTCAGAAATCATGATTTTCTTCTCAGGAAACATTTTGTTTTTATTATCAGTGTCAAAAACAGTTTGTGCTACTTAATATTCAGTGACAAATGTCTTTACTATCTAGATCAATGTTTTGATCAATTAAATGCATCCTTGCTGAAAAAAAATATTCATTTATTTAAGACAAAAAAAAAAACTCACTGAAAGATACAGCCCCTTTTAATTTAGCTACTGTATTTTAGCAGTAACTGACCGAAGTACTCAGAAGGGGGTGATAGAGTTTGTTCAAATATCTGTGACATTTAAAGGAATAGATTATCTCATCATATACTCACCCTCAAGTTGTTCCAAACCTGTATGAATTTCTTACTTCAGCTGAACACAGAAGATGATATTTTAAAGAATGTGGGTAACCAAACAGTTAATGGGACCTATGGAAGTCAACAAGGCACATCTACTGTTTGGTTACCGAAGTTCTTCAAAATATCGTTTTTTGTGTTCAGCAGAAGAAAGAAAATCATACAGGTTTGCTATTTCTGAGAAACACTATTGATATTTGAAATGAACCCAAACAAACACACCCATCCCTTCTTTAAATCATCATCATCATCATCATCACCTACTTTTCGACACATTTAACATACTTTACTACTGATTTTCGAATTCCGTTCGGATACATTTCAGAACACAATTTCCTTGCATAACACTACGCTTCAGACATTATTTTGATTGCACGCATCTACTAATAATGTCAAGCCACTCAAACAACTTGTAAATAAAACAGAATGAAGGAAAGCCAGCTACCTCTCTTTATCTTCCTCATCTCCACTCTCATACTCGGATTCTTCTTCACTGCCCGACGCCCCCTCCTCGTGCTCCGGCAGAGGAGGGTTCTGTGGGGGGAAGGGTGGGGGCATGGGCGGCAGTGGGCCTGGGTGCATCTCAAACTGAAACGGTGCAGATGAGTAGGTTACACCTTCATGTAGCTCATCAATATTAGCATAGCACTTATACTGATGGGATTCAGTGAAATGCAAAGCATCAGGGATGAGGATGACTGAATTCACGCAATGCCTGACGTCATCATCATGCAACTTGAATTTAATTTAAGATAAGATAAACATTTACAAACGCGCATATACCAACTCACCATTGGCGGACGAGCGGTCACCGGCCCAAATGGGCTGGGGAGGTTCATCTTATTCATCAAGTGAAGAACCTGTGGAGGAACATGTTCATCTGATTAAGAAAGAAGTGTGTGTGAGTGTGTTGTTTTCACACACCTGGTGCTGCATATTTCTTGGGCACAAACATTAATTGTGACCCTGGCTCCATATGTAACCCAGATTTCTGCGTTGGAATATATTTAGGCTCGTGATGGCTCTAAAACGGAGCTCTGAGCAACAGATTTAATGTGTTTAAACAACCAGCCTGTTTCGCAGAAAGCTAGCGCCACCAAAAGGCAGGCCAGGAAATTTAATTATATCATGCTGTTTCACAAAGCGGTGCGGTGTAGCTTAAGGGAAAATTTTAAATACATCACTCATCCCTCCCACATGAGCGCGATATTAATACCATCAGAATAATTCCCTCCAAATATTGTGGTTTGATGTTTTAGGGACTGGACTTGATTCAAAGAAATCACATTAGTGCCACTCTGAGAGCGTTTCCCTGTCTTTTTTCCCTGATATGAACTAACAACCTGAAAGAGGGAGAGAGACGCTGGTACACAAGAGGCATATAGATGTGCCTCTTGTACATATAGGTGTGCTTGTTTACACATTCTCAACATGAACTGATAAATAAAACAACAGAAAAAGATAGGGGGGGAAAAAATACTTTGTTGTCTCTACTCACTTGAACGTAGAACTTGGGTACGCTCAAAAGTGTGTGTGAAATGTTTGTCAAAATTCCACTTGAAGGAGGAGGGTATAAATATTTCAGCGTTGGATTTGTTTGAAATTTCAACCTGCGGGAGGGAAAGAAAAAAAAGCACACATGAAAAATTGCCAGTCGTTCCAGAAATGCTACCCGTGACAAAATCCATGAACATAATGGTGAAGCAGAAATATAAATATATTTGGCTGTGTTTGGTAGATGCCCACGCCTGCATTCAGGAACAGGTGATCAGCTACCCTTAGTTAGCTCCAGTTAAAGCTCCAAGTTAAAAAAAAAAAAAAACATTTTAGATTTTTTTCATTTTCATGATTACAATCAGATTATGTAAATTCTGTAAGAACTCACTAGTTTGTACCATCATCACTTTTATTATACTGCTACTCACAGTCACCAATACTATTATATATTATTACTATAGTACTTATTATTGGCAGGCAAGATTTCAAATATTCATAATGATTTTGCAGGTAATATAAAATTAAGCTTTTAATGTATTTAAGTCTCATAAAGTCACCATTAAACTAGTTTAATGATCCTTGCCAGTATGAGAGCAGTAAGATTTTACTGCTTTTATCATTATTATTATTAATAATATTAATAATAACAATGATAATTTAAGTATCTGCTATTAAATATAAAAATTTGTATATATGAAGAGTTCAGATGCAAAAGCCTCTAAGTGCCATTTGAAATTTTCTTCTAAAATGATCATTTTTATCAAGCTTGTATATTTAAGTTCAGTGATTTCACTTAAATGGCAATGATAATTACCTATTAATTGTTATTTAAGTGAAATTACTGAACTTAAATATACAAGTTTGATAAAAATCATCATTAAAGAAGAAAATTTTAAATGGCATTTAGAGGCTTTTGCATCTGAACTCTTCATATGTATATATATATATATATATATATATATACACACTGATGAGCCAAAACATTACAACCAGTCACAAGTGAAGCAAATATCGTTGATCATCTCTTAACCAGGGCCAAATTGTGAACCAGGATGCGATTTGGGATGATGACAAGTCAGTGGATGGAGTGTGATGATCTGATGATCTGTTCTGCTGGGAAACTCTGGATCCGGCCATTCATATGGATGTAAAATTAGACACATGCCACCAACCTAAACATTGTTGTAGACCAGGTACACCCCTTCATGACAATGGAGTTCCCTGGTGGAGTGGCCTCTTTCAGCAGGATAATTCACCCTGCCACACCACACACATCGCTCAGGAATGGTTTGAGGTACATGTGCTGGACCAACAAGTTCGATCAACGGCAGTTTTAGCTTGCAACCTACTGGACTTGAAGAACCTGCTGCTAACGTCTCAGTGCCAGACACCACAGAACACCTTGGGTCTTGTAAAGTCCATGGCTCAGCGCTGTTTTGGCAGCACGCAGGCATATTAGGCAAGTTGTCATGTTTTGGCTCATCTGTGCATTTATATCACATATATATACATACATAATAAAAACACACACACATATACTGTACATTTGTTACAAACACATCATAATAATAAAAAAAATAATCAAATTTAGCTGTTTAAAATGTAAAAAGTAACATGAATACTGTGATAAAATAGTGTAACTCCAACTCCAAGATCCTACTTTGCAACTGACTTTCCCTGGCAAGCCAAATGCTTTAAATGTCAAGACTCCTTCAAGTTGAATTTGATTGCATGTTGTATCACGGAAACGGTCTGCGCCTCATTCACAGCATCACACCACTGAAAAACACGCTTTTCAAGCGACCCTGGTCTGTGCACGAGCTGCTCTAGTGGAATTAAATAAATAAAAATCTGTCACAGCTCCGCTCGTTAAGTGAGGGTGAAGTGCGGGCTCCTTGTGCAGAATTATATCTTAGCCCACGGTCTCTTTATCAAAGGCCACCTGGTGCCACCACATGGCAGGAGCAGACGGGCTGTCACTGCAGAACAGACACTCTGAGACATGGGCCTGTAATTGGACATGAGACGGATGGTGACAGCCACTCGCCAACTTCCTCTCTTTCTCTTTTCGCTGTGGGCACTTCCTACAGGATTACCAGGACCTGAACTACTGACACCAGGTACGGGATGTCAACCGAGAGCATTAGGCTGTCTCAAATCTCAAGTGACATCATAAACACAGTGAATGCGTGAGGAAGTCAATGTGCTGATCAAACAAACACAGATGCGTGTGTACACCTACCCCAGACTGGGAGCAATGCTGTTGTCCATCATAGGAACATTGTGCTGTTGTTTTTCTTTCTTCCCCTTTTCAGCTTTAGCAGCCGCACCACTGAAACAGAAGAACACTTTTATGGGGGGCGTTTTATTATAAATATAAGCAGTGTTGGAGGAGGTAAGGCATTACAAGTAATTATTAAGTAACTAGTGAAGTACTTTAACATTTACAACAAAATATCTGAATTACTTTTTCAAAAAAGTACTTTGTTTCCCCATTTATTGACTGACACCTCTCCTGTCACAATGTTAAGAGAAATTGGAAGAACGTGCAGAGGTGTTGTGTGCGCTGTGTGACATGATGGTTATTATAGATCTAAATGTGAGCATGTATTTATCTCTATGCATCTCATTTGCATAAAAACAGATTCAGTATTCCAAAAAATAAAACAGTGAACTGCAAAATCAGAATATGCAAACCTGCCATAATTAAATGTAAAGAACACATACATACTTTATGCATTTAATCTCACTTAAGTAATCAATGTTTTTGTTTCTGACAATCAATGATCCAATTCAACCAAACCAATCAGCAAAAATGGCTTTAGATAGATACACATCACATTTGTGTTTTTCCTATTTTTCTGCCACCCAGAATGGTAGCACAGCTGAAAGGTTGGTCAGGTGTGAATTTGCATTTCCTTGAGTCTGAGGCTAATTCATTTAACTTTTGGTGTGAAAAGGCCTTTACATTTGGTGAAAATAGAACTTTTAGTTTTTATTATTATTATTACTACACAATAAACAACCAAGTCCAGCTCAGGTGAGGAAAAAGTCATGCTAAAGTATAAAAAGTAACACAATTGCTTGCTTTTTTTAGGGAGTAATATTGTGATGTATTGGACATTTCCCTAACACTGAATATAAGGGTGTTTCTTCAAATATGGACATTTTCGGTCATGTAAACTTGTAGAAATAAACTATCTTAAAACATTGTTGTCATAAAAATTGTTTTACTTGTATACTAACAATGTTCAGCAGTGTATATACATGCATTATGGGAAAATTGTCATTTTCCCTGAAACATCATGAAAATGTCCACATCATTTCTAATTATGAATTGTGTTTAATATGATAAGGTGTTGTAAATTGTAATTTTAACATAAAAAATAGCAGACTATTATGTCTTGCTAAGGCTAATTTCATACCTATAATTTTATTTATTCTTAGATCCTATAATTTTTTTCACTATTTTTTGCCATAAATTATATATATATATATATTTTTTTTTTTTTTTCTTCACACATTACAAGTCCCATTTTACACCAAATTGTTGTAACTTTTAATACAACTTTATTGGCAAAATTGTTGGTCAGAAATAAAATGTGTAGTTTTGTAAACAATGCATATAATCAGTGTTTTTAAAATGAGTCACTTGAGTTTTTCCTGAGACAAGGATCATGCAAATCTATTCAAAAAAAGCATTTGAAAAGTAGCCAAAATAAATAGTTTAAACATGAACAAATAAATTCCAAGAGAGTTTTGAAGTGAACTATATATAACTAAATTAAATATGCTTGTTTAAATCAATCCGACACATAAAAATGTCTATATTTGAAGAAACATCCATTAACAGTACTGATAAAATATAGAAATCAGAGACATGTTTAGACAGTGTGTATTAGAGGAGGGGAGGAATAGCTGAATGTCTATTGTCAAGATTGATTTTAACATTTACCTGTCAGACACAGGTGGGTCTTTCAAAACACTGACACTGTCCTGATCTTTAGCAAACTCAACCACAAGTGTGTGACCAAGGATTCTCAGCTGATGAAGTCTGTTCAGCGCCTGTGGGTGGAGAGAAGAAATTTTGGTTATTAACATGTCGAAGCCATCTCTTAAACCACAAGAGGAGCATGTGTATTTTAATTTTACCTTAGAGGCTGAGGTCTGACTGCTGAAAGTTGCAAATGCCATATGCTTCTGCAGATGACAACAAAATCGGGTCAGCTGTATTTATTCATTGCATCATTTACCCACAGCAGTTTGCAACTTTTGCACTTCCAAATCTTACGACTTACAAGTGGTCCCTTCTCTGACAGAACTCTTACGGAAGAGGCACCAAAATATTTCAGAAGATCCTCTTTCTCATCTCTGTTGAGTTCTCTGGGCAGATGCCGTACGATGAGGGTTTTGCTTTTCTTTGTTTGAACGTCGGCCTCGTCCGTCTCTGCCATGATTCTACATTCAAAGACAAACAGTTTGTTAGTTCATGATGCAAATAGAATGTGCATCTTTAAAGTGAGCAGAGGGTAAAAAAGCATGTTTTCATTATTTAGTGAGCCAAAACAAAGACTTGCTGCATTATAAAAGTTACAAGTCACCTTCATTTTGATTTCATACCCACATCTTTCCCTTACATTACACACCAAATCCAATTCAATAATGTGCATAATACATTTAACCAAATGAATGTTCCCAATCTAAAATAAATAATAATAAATGCTTGCTCCAAATTTGACCAATAAATATTTTTTTTTCTTGAATAGCCAATATGGCAATAATGCTAATTTCTCTCACCACATCCCAATACTGCAACAGCAATAAATATATCAATCCCGCCCAGACTCATCAAAAACAGCTGAACTTTATAAAATCTCAACATTATCATATAAAAAATAAGTATCATCATTTTTGCATTGGAATAATAATAATAACAACATGTTTTCACATTAACGAGAACTTGCGAGGGACATGAACACTGTCCATAACATAATGGCTTCAAACTGGTTTCACGAGATTCATCTAGACAGTTATTACCTTCATATTTATATATTATTAGTAAGTACATATAAAAATTAAAAACAATGCATGGGTAAATGCATTTTAGTTCTTTTTAATACTTTGACAGAGCATACTTTCTGCATAATACTGCAGCGTGTCTGTCCGGAACTGAAGTTAAGCATCTAACGTATTGTTGTTCCGGGGGAATGAAATCCTGGAAACACAATATCTGCACAGGGTAAAAAAGGACTATTTATAATCTTATTATTTATCTGATCCTTAACAAAGACTGGAGGATACGTTGAATTCGCATTCAAAGAGTAACATGCTTAATATTGTATTCGTTAAGTTAGCTAAACAGTTTAAAAATTAGCAAAAGCAAGTTGAGAGGTTTTGTTGTGAAGTGAACCGAGCTCTGACAAAACATTAGCAGCAACAGAAAACTCGTACAGATGAACAACCGTTTCTGGTTAAAATAAAAAGAAATAAATAAAGCATTGCGCTACTAAAGAAATGTAGAGGAGAATAAAGATAATAAATGGCACAGTGATGGGTTAAGAGCGAGAGATATGAAACACACATACCCGGTTCAAATTCACCCTCTTCCGCACTAAGTTTGTGGGCGTGTCAAATGAGGTCGGGGAAATCTGATACCTGATTGGTTGTCTGTGGGTCCTTTCCTTCACTGATTGGTGCGCAAAGGACATCAGTCACAAACGGTCAATTTCCAGAAAACATTTTTTTTTTGGCCAGGAGATGGCACTGCTGGTAACGGAATTAATAGGTGCTTATCTTACAGAATTTTTTTTTCTAAGTCTATATTACAGTTTTTTCTGATTGCTTAAGCACATTTTTTGTAACTATTGGCTAGTTTTGCAAAACTCTACACACAAATAAGAAAACCTTTCACCCAATTATCAAAACATTGTAGTTCTCTTGCAAAAGCAAACACAGCTAGATTAACTCTTCACACCTTCGGAAAAATTGTGTTTTCGTATCAAACAGTAAACACAAGCCATCAAATACTAAGCACACAATGTGCCAACTACACACTGATGGTATGAATGCAAAACACATCTGGCTTTTGCTGTCTCTGTGTACAGATGTCAATTTGAGGTCATACTTTTGTCATAGTGTCATGTAAACATACAAGGATACAAACTTCAAGTATTGGTGTTTATTCACACTCATAAAAACCAAGACAAAGTCAGAACACAAAATAGTAATTTTACACAAAAAAAAAAAAAAAAAAAAAAAAAAAATCAGCCTACATCATGTCGTCTTTCTGGGTTCGGCTGCAAAATTACGTCGACATCACATGCAATATCCTCCAGTCCAAGGCACCAGGGAAAATATGTCCTTGAATGCCGTATCCAGGCCTGACATGATGCCTGGTCAATATCTCCACATGCCTCCTCCATTGCCTGTAAAAGGGCTACCTGTTGATGAGGATGACGGTCGTACACTTTCCAGAACTCCTCAATGGGATTTACGTAAGAATGGAGAGTATGGAGGGAGGTTGAGTGCCATGAAAAATGTGTGGTCTGTAAACCAGTTGCGGACTAACATTGTCCCATATGATGACATATCGGGTATGCTCTTCAACTCCACATCCTCTCCCTCTGCCTCCTTGTCCTCTTCTAGCTCCTTCCTCCAACTTCTTCACCTCCATGTCCTCTCCCTCGGCCTCCTCTGATTCTCACTCTTCTCACTCTTACTGCTCCTTCCATTGTACTCCACACAGACAGCTTACCTGTGGCTTATTTATAGTGCTTAGGCTGATTGCAAAGTGAACTAATTTTCTAAAACAGTTTTCAAATGTGAAAGTGAGCCAGACAGTTGGCAAAATAGCGTTAATGATAGCCATACATGTGTATAATTTTGCTAGAAGTGTGTTGGAAATTTGGTAATTGAGTGTAAGCAGTGAGTTGTGTTTAAAGTTCTGCAAAAATAGTGTTGTGCAGTGAATTGTGCCTACAGTTTTGCAAACTCAGTGAGTGGTTTTGCTATACGTATTAATAGTTTTAGAAATTGTGCTACAAGAATCACGATTAGCGCTTAAGCATTCAGAAAAAACTGTAAATGAGCTGTTTAATTTATATATTCATTTAATTAGTAAAAAAAAATGGTATTGTTTGTAAAGTTGCAATACATATTTTTTGAATAATGTTGGTAACTGGATTGAATGGTTGAGCTTTGAATGCGGTCAACGTGTATTCGTGTCAGTGTGCCAAACACAAGCTGACTTTTATACTGTACATGCTAATGGCTTCTCTTCACTCTTCACTACTGGTTTTTCTCTGTAATGCTCATACTGTGTGGAGATCAGACAAATGTGTGTATGGCTGGCATTTAACCAAACCAAATCTTTGCCCCCCTTCTTCCTTCCTAGTCATACTGCCCCTCTGTCTCCTGAGTCCTACTTATTCAGACCTTTTTTTTTTTCATGACACCCCTTTTTCACATTTTCAAGAATCCATATTCAATGAGCTTGAAAGATAAATGTATCATGTGGTAAGTTGGCAACAGTTTATGTTTGCCTAGGGTGGCCTACTAGTGGTATTTGGACTGATTGTCGCCATTGTGCCTTATAAAAACCCTTTTTTTTTGCCAAATTTCAGTCCCATGACATTGGTTTTTCATTTTTGATGTATGAAAGGTAGTTGCAACCTCATTAGTATACAATTTCAAACTCGATGACAGCTTTTATGAGTTTGTGTTATACTCTGGTAACAGTCAAAGAGAAGTGACCCTGGTTTAAGGACCAACTTAACTTGGAGATCATCCTCACCATTGTCAGACAGCCTCCAAATTCCAGTGCAAATGAATTTTCTTTTTCTTTTTTTCTCCATTGCGGACAACATGGGCATTCCTTACAGGGGGGAACAATGCCCCCTTTCAGTCTGGCCGGCTCTGAAATTTCACAGGTGAAGGGAGGAGCGGAAGGTATCTAATCCCTGGCCTGAACAGCCTGATGAGCCTGGAGAGAGCAGGGAACGGGACGGCCCGTCTGTGACCACCCTGTCAGCTGGCCGGGCTAGTGACAGAAACGTGTCAAGAAGGAAAGGTTTGTGCCCCATCAGCATTGCCTTGTGAAGCATAAATCATCTACCATGCTGACTACTCGTGGTGGGACAGTCCTGTGAACTCTAGAAGTCTGCCGGCCATTGTTTGGTGACGGATATGTAATGAAAGTAATGTATTAAAGACCTAATAACACGGTACATGTTTATTCTATTGTGTTTTTTGCAGTATGTTTAAATGGTCTTTTTTTTTTGTTGTTGATAAAGCATGCAGTCTCTCTCTATTATTATGTATTTATTGATTTTGTATATTTTGCAGCTTATTTAATGGTCCTGCCACATTACAAATTCATTTTTGTAAGTAAACATGTAGCCTTTCTGTGTTTATTTATTTAGTAATTTTTTCAGCTCGTTTAAATGGTTATGTGGTGTTTCTAATTGATTTTTGGAGGTAAACCATGTAGTCTTTTCTTTCTATTATTTTCAGTGTTGTATTTTCTGCAGCTCATTTAAAGGATCATGTGATGTTACAAATAAACCTTCTCTCTCCATTTATTTATTTTTCCAGCAAATTTAAATGGTGCGGTGTTGTTTCAAATGATTTTTTGCAGTTAACCTTGTCTCTCTCTATTTATTTATTTATTTATTTATTTATTTATTTATCTATCTATCTATCTATCTATCTATCTATCTATCTATCTATCTATCTATCTATCTATCTATCTATCTATCTATCTATCTATCTATCTATCGTAAACTGGTAATATGATGATACCAATTAACGTTTTCAAAAATGCTATGTTGTATTTTATGCAGCTTATTTAAATGGCCCTGCAGCGTTACAAATTATTTTTTTCAGGTAAACCACGTAGTCTCTCACTATTTTAAAATGAAGAGTAAAAATCTAGAAAATCATAGATCAAATCAAAATAAATAAATTAGCAGTGGTTAATGAACAAATATACAGTTGATTTTTATTGAATATTACTGTAATTTTAGCTAAATTAGAGATGACTACATTAAAACAAACTGCTTCAGAGCGGAATCCATATAAGAGTTTAAAAAGCCATGATTGATCCAAGACTGACCATAGACGCACTGTAATGTGCCGTGGACAGCACAGCAAGTCTGAGTTGTTTGCTAGTAACAAACATTCATTTGGGTGATGGTGGGTGTGGGGGGCTAGAGATCAGTGTAACAGGCCTGTCTGCAGTAAAAGTGCTTTCTGGATCAACACAAGCAAAGACACTGCATTCCTCTAGCTGTAATTTATATGACAGCTCTGAAACAAGCCCGCTGTCCTTGCTGTAGGCAAAGAATTCTTAATCCCAAATGTTCAGAAACAGCCGGAGTCCTATGTCTAAAGGAAAGTAAATAAACAGATAAACAATCCCAAATCCTGTTTATTCTCTTTGGGAATGTATGTGTGCTTTTCACATTTTTCATGGTTTCCTGGTGAAGACATTTGATCTGATACATCATAAAGGGAAGCAGAAGCATCACAGGCTGTTTTTATACAGTTATTTCAAGACACTCTTAAAGGGATAGTTCACCCAAAAATGACAACATCATTCACTCACCCTCAGTTTGTTCCTAACCTGTATGATTTTCTTTGTTCTGAACACAAAGGAAGATCTTTGAAGAAGTTTGTTAACCAAACATTTGCGGGGAACCATTGACATACTGTAGTATGAGGGAAACTACTATGAAAGTCAATGGGGCCTATCAACTGTTTGGTTACAATCTTCAAAATATTTTTAATCTTTAATTTATCTTTATCAAGGTTTGTATCAAATTTAGTGTGAGTAAATGATGACATGATTTATTTTTTTGTTGAACAATCATGTCAACACTCCCGTTTTTTGAGGGTTTCTCACATTTTTTAGCCCTATCTGCCGGACCTTCTCCCAGGAAACACCCGTAATTTGCATGTCCCACACTCGTTTATGAATAATTGGACCAATATGTTTGTCTAATGTTGACCAGTTGCCAGATCTTCTTAAATCCATTATATTCACTCAACTCACACACCATATACAATTTCAACCCATTTCTCAACCTGGCAAACTATACCCCAGTTGTGCAGTCACGGAAAGCTCAATGCGAAAGCAAGCAACCCTAAAAAGAATACTTCCGGTTTAGGATTTAGCTGATTGCAAATAATGTTCAAGTGTGATGTAAATTAAAGTTATTGACTCATTTCATTGAGGAAAAAGCATTGTCTTTGTTGCACATGTCTTTGTTGAATGTGTGTGTGGTTTATGTTAGCAAAATGAACTTATGGCAAAATGACTAATTGCTTATAGCACCTTTAAATCACATTGGTGACACAGTTGCTTCCATTTGCAGTCTTCCTGTCTTTAAAAGTAAAAGGAAATATTTAATCAGAAGTAATTTCACAGAGAGGAAGGACGCTACATTCTGTCTAAGTAATTCCTTATGTCATTGGGCGCGAGCGTGCATCAAGAAAACAGACGTGATCTACTGCGCCACCACTTTCAAATCTCTCCTTATTCTCCATCTTTTTCAAACCTCCTCTCTCTGTCCGTTTCTTTACTTTCTCTCCAAAAGGCCTTCAGCACCTGCCAATGTCTAAACAACATGCGTTTCTACTTGGGGGTTGTTTTGGGTCTCAG